AGTACAACCATGTTGGGATAGAAAACTGAAATGTAATGAAAAGTATTAAATTTTTTATTATAATGAATTTATTAATTAATAGTTAGAAGCATAGGTATGCAAGCCTAGTAAACCCACAACGTTTATTTTTGAAAGTTGAACTTAGGATTCAACTAATAATTAGTGCAAAATAATTTTTAGGAATTGTTAAAAAATAGATTTTTTTGTGTTCGATAGCTATGATATTAAGATTATGAAGTTTCGAGAAAGAGAGTGACAGGCTGACAGGAGCATAACAAAAGATTGGGTTTCAAAAATTTCACTCGCACTGAGGTTTCAGTTTGATATAGATAACGATGAGAGAGTTGAGAACAACAAAGGGCCGGATTTTTAAATTTTCCTAGGTTCGGGTTTTGGGTCGAAAGCTTTGGAAATACTTCATAAAGTAATCGGCACGCGGACATGTCGGCAATTTAATGTGAGAACAGTTACCGTACTCATTTCGGACCTACGGTCACCAGTACTAAAAATATCTCGAGGATCCCAATTCGCAAAAATCGCCTATTTTTCTTTATGGTCTCAATATCCTAGTCAATAAACCGCAATATTCATTACGTAAAACACAAAAAAATGTTGTTGGCTCTTAAGAATGTTTATTCGTTTTTTGACAGCTTGTTATAAACACCAACTTTACTTAATAGCTAAAATAATTTTCACATTGTAGTCAAATGCTATGGCAACAATAAATTAATAATTCTGTTTTATGAGAAGGTAAATAATAAAAAATATATTGTGAGAACAAAAAGTACAGCTGTCATTAATTTAATAATTTAAATAACAGAATTAAGCCAAAAATTAATGAGGATACGTAGGAGGTGATATGTGAAAAATTAAATTAACACAAAAGAGGTAAAGTGAACTAGAACTTAGTTTGTTAGGTTGCTGAAGAGTTGGGGAAGGAAAGGAAAGAAGTTGTTACATATAGAGATGAATAGGGTTGTACCCCGTCCCCGTCCCTGAAAGTCGGGGAATTTGAGAGATTTTTTGAAAATTCCCCGTCCCCCCCCCGTGAAAAATAAAAAAATTTTCCCCGTCCCCCCTCCCCCCGTCAGGGAACAACCCTAGAGATGAAGCGCCAAGATTAGGGGTGATGAAGAGGAGGATGGAGCAAAAAGTGATCTCATACGCTTCCAGCTGCCGACGACTCCATCGAATACCTTTTGCAATAGCTGGTTTTAAAATACTCCAGTCTCTATAAAAATAATTTACTCCATATATTTCCTTAAATTAAAAAACGATTAATATATTCATTAAATGTTAGTGGGTAAATGGACTATTGTTTGTAGATAAGTATTATTTTTGTAAGCCAAATAGGTATATGGCTATTTTAAAGAAATCATGAAATTTCTATTTACTTAGATTTACTCGAAGTTTCCAAAGTGAAGTATTGGAAAAAATCAAAGTGAAGTATTGGAAAAAAGGGGAGTGGAACTGAGAAAAAGTCAGTTATAAATGAGAATTTATGGCAAAATTGTTGGATTTAATTTATTCTAAAAATAAGTTTACAATAAATTACAAGAAAAATCGAAAATTAATTATCATAAATGGAAGCAGTGATAAATTATAAATCTTAAGTTATTAATATTTAAGTAGATTTATATTTTTAGATTTCCGGATTTTATTTTAGAAATTCTTGCTTAAGCAACTATTTAGAGCGAGCATAAAACAGATATTAAATAATAGATATGGAACAAAAGAATCATAATGAATTAACAGAAATTTGTTTAAGCGGGAGTGTTGAAAGGAAACAATTAAACTAAAAATAATAAAAAATATTATATTGTGAATTTTTGCAAAATTTATTTTTTGTAAGAATTACAAGAATAGAAGAGAATATGAAATTAGATTAAGGGAGGTGTATGTAAAGACTAAAAGATCAAAAAGAATAGTGCACTCGAGTTGGAGTAGTTTGAATTAGAATAGATGTTCTCGTTGATCACTATTATCTTTTAATTATAAAACCGAACTCTAATTTTGTTTTTTAATATAGTCAATCCCAGACTATAGTGCCTGAATTAATAACACTATAGTATATGGGGTATTAATTTTTATAGGAATTTGTGTAAAAAAATTATTTTCTAAATTATTTTCTGATTCAGATGACTTATAGCTAATCCGAAAGAGCATTAAAAACTGTATCTAAAATTGAATTGCAGAATAAGAGCATAAAAAACGGCTAAAATATTTTGTTTCACATTTGTTAGTTTAAGAAATTTGGCATTCTGCTGGGATTAATGGTCTTTGTCGACGGCTGATCCTTTTGGCGTTGGACGATATATATTCGAGTTTATTGGGTTTTCTTGTCAATTTGCTTAGCCTTATTTGTTGAGTCATTGAATCAACATCCAAAAAATAACGAGAGAAAATTAGCGGCACGAGACAGGCTTTCATACATATATAAATACTAATAAATACGGAATAATCAAATAATTAATATTGTTAATATGTTTGGATAAACCCAATAATCCTACAGTTGACTAGAGTTCTAGCTTCGAAATCTAACAGAATCGAGCTTTCTGTTTGGTTCTTAGGTTATGTTCAGGATGTGGTTACCCACTTAGAAACTAACTTTATCTCGCCTAGCTTTATTTGTTGAGTCATTTATTAAACATCCAAAAAATATCACAATAATCAACACTGGACCGAGTTTCTATAAAATATATTAATACTAATAAGTATAGAATAATCTAATAATTAATATTGTTAATAGGTCTCGGATAACCCCTTTAACTTTGCCCTCAATTTACAGTTGACTAGGGTTCTGAGTTCGAAACCTAACATAATCGAGTTTTCTGTTTGGTTCTTAGGTTAGGTTCAGAATTTGGGCACCTGTATGATCAGTCATTCAGTCAAGGTTGTTAAGGAATCAATAAAATTTTTAATGTATACGTCTTCCCTTTCAGAACATGAGTTTTCCTTATCAATCATTAGAAGAGGAGGAATTCGTTTTAAACACTAATTTATTATGAAAGCCAGAAGAGCTGTCTCGTCGCTAATTTCTTGTTTGAAGTTATTGTTGAATTATTTATTCAACTTCCAAAAATAAACAACAACGTTAACAAAGTGATAGCATTGAAAGAATTTATATTGTATTAAGATAGAATAATCTAATAATTAATATTAACTAAAACCCGGACGGCATTTTCAATTTTTCTCGGTATCCGATCTACATTACTGCACAAAAATATAAAAAGTTTTATTTTCTTGTTTCATTAAGACTAGCTGATTTGAAGGTTTTTTTGTTGTTGTGTTTTGCGTATTGTCGTTCTAATATTTTTGGAAGTCAAGCAACGCTTAGACTAAACGATATGGTTCTTATTAGCTCGCCGAGATGCATCATCCATACCAAGGCGTCCCGGATTCGACTATTATGAACGAGGTTATAGCTCTGCGGTACGATGGGCTCGCAGTATACTGGCCTGCTCCCTCTATATATTAGTCAAAAATGCATTAATTATGTCTTTATAAAAATTTATTCTAACATCGATATATAAAAATTTAAATTTTAATATAAAAAATCGTCAACAAAGCCCGTAACCGTGTAGAATTTTTTGTAAAAGTGCATCAATCACATTGTCAAGTATCAATTGAATCTTAAAATAAAGTTTACAAATTTTGCTTTTTACAATTGCAGATTAAAATGCCAAACTATGGGATCACGCATGTGGGATCCCGAAAAACTCGTGAGGGATCCCGTCCCGCACCGACCTTTAAATCAAACTTTTCCACTATACTCAAATGTTCCGTCTTTAGATTTTTGAAGATAACAGTAGGAATCTACATAATTAATCCAATTATACTTGGATTTGCAAAAATAACTCCTTGTTGTAAGCAAAAATGATATAACATAAATGGGGAGCTTTATTTTTAAATATAGTAGAGCAATGTAAAATTATATATCTTTTAGAAAAATGATTTTTCTTCTACTCTTTTGTTTCAATTATTAAATCGTAATTAAGCACTTTGTACTATTTATTTACCTGATTAGTGTCTGTAGCACAAGTTTCGTGAATATAAACGGTTTTGTTTGGATTAGAATTGAGAGATTCAAATTTTTCTTCGATATATTTGACTTGGTCTTCATATGAATTTGAACCTTTAAAATTTGAAATTGAAACATATTAGTTGATTGAAATAAAATGTGATTAAATATAGGTCAATTGGATAAGAATTGGGCAATGCCGCGCTATCTCCTGAGTTATTTTTGTAAGCCGAGAATTTCCTCAGCTAATACTTCAGTTCTGATATCTGTAACGGATTCAAATATTTAGTGACATTCCCGGATCCTCCAACCCTACATGAAAATACGCTATTAAACCTGGTATCATATTTCTCTTAAATTTTTCTTAGTGAAATTTGATACGTATCAATTATAATATTATGGATAATGCTAAATACATAACAATACTTGGCTTGATGGAAGCCAGTTAATTGTTTCGATGTTTTATTTTTGTAAGCCGAGAATTACCTTGGCTAATTGGTTTGTTCTTTGGACAAGAACAATTGAATCTATTATTTCCGTACAAACATTAAAGCGATAGAAACCTCCAAAAATACCAAAGTTAGGAAAGAACTTGTTACTGACAGCTCTCCCATGTTTATTAACAGCCCAAGTGTAAGGGTAGCGTAAGCCAGTATAAAAAGCGCAGTGTTTTAGTAGTCGTGTGTGTTAGTCAGTTGCAGTTGTCCGTCTTATTCCGTAGTCAAGCTATATTCTACTCCAGTGCATAGTCTCGCTTATTCTATTGTATTGTTACCTTCGTGATAAACCTTGCTAGTTAGTCTAGTCTTTCTGTTAGTATCGGACACCCCGCAAGTCGATGCACAACATCAACCAGACTACCACCAACTAATCGTTTTCATTTTCGCTTAATTGCTAGTGCTGGGAGAAACTTATGGCTCTCTGATTCGAGCTTTTTAACCGCTTATCCATACATCAATAACTGATTGTGTATAGAATTTTAAATAAACAAAAATAATTTACCCATATAATTTTTGAATAGGCATTGAATCGAAGTTGTTTTAATTTTTTCTTCAAATATATCTTTTTTGTTAAGGAAAAGAATCATTGCTGTATTGTAGAACCATCTTGAATTACATACTGAACGAAACAAACGTAGAGATTCAATCATTCGATTCTGAAAAAAGAATTTTTTACTTAATAGTAATTATTTAGTCCACTATGTGGACTTGCAAAAATAAAACTGGAGAAATAGATTACGCAGGAAACATAAAATCTATTAATCCAAATACCTTTATAACCAATATAAATAGAATAATATATAACTTGTAATAGACCCCTTAAGCTGGATGTGGGATAGTTTCTTAGTGTGACTTTTCTGGATAGCTTTTGAGGACCGACATCTGAAGATTGGCATTTGAGTAAAAAATATTGTAACCTTAAATAGAAATCATCACAAATTATGTACTCATCACAGTACTACGTGGAAGTTGTTCCACAAGTGGGGGAAGAACAACTTCCCCGTAATACATAATTTGTGATTATCTCTGTTTGTAGATGATAATATTTTTTTACTCAAATGGTATGAAATGCCGGTCTTCAAAAGTTGGTCCTCAAAGGGGGCCGCAAAGTTCCGTTAGCAACTGTAGTATAACCGACGTTATAGAATAGTGCTGTTCAAGACACTAGGTCATGAATCTTGACTCAATTTTTATTGGGTTTTTTCGGTTTTGGGGTGTAATCTTGGTCTCGATTCTTGGGACATTTTCGGTCTTGGACAAGATCTAGTATAGAGCCATCACAGATGCTTTTAATAAAATCCAAACCGTTCTTGTATCCTCAAACAGCACTTGATCATATTCACTTAATGCAACTACGAATATTATGGCATGAACGTCCTAAATAATTTTAAAGATTTGGAGACATTAAATCCCGAATTACGTCAAAACAATGAATCCATTTTTTCCTTTCACTTCTTTGCCCGCCAACATCGAAAACGCGAAAATTGACACCTTTGATTTCGAATTTTACCTAAAATAGAGGAGATAAATGTATCGTTAATCGCTAAATGACAAGTTGCCGGGCAAGGTATGGCTACGGGAGCTGGCTCAAGGTGCAGATTGGTTGTAGATTTAATATGGTATTAGTTTTTAATAATTATTTAAAAGAGTCCGTACGAGGGGTCGATCGATACTTTTCGATAGATATTGAAAAATAATGGAAAAATATCTATCTTAATGAGACGGACTCTATTATTTAATAGTCTTAGGAATAAAGACTTCCAAAAAATAATAAGAAGAATCCCAAATAATGCCATTAGAAGCTTATCATGAAGATAATTTTAAAATGAATTATTTTTTGTAATATTAATATGGTGCATTTAGTTGACAGTAGTGACCGGCGCGGGACGGGATCCCGAACCCGTACTCCCATACTTCGTTTTGCGGAATTTTGGGGGAGTGCGGGATTTTGCGGGATGTTTCCCACGGACCCCCGCCCCGCAGATGTTTTTCGAAGTTACTCACGCAAATACGTGATATCAATCCAGCAAATACGATTTTGCCGGTCACTAGCTGCCAGGAAAAATCTTTTAACCTCAATAATTCCAGTAGTAGTAATTCTAAGCATTAAAATATCTTGAGTTGTTGGCACATATGTGTGAGCAGTTATTCTGTCGAGTGCGTTGAGGAAACTGTTTAAAATTTTAAATTAATTGTCCTGCTTTCCCGAGCATGATTCCACAAAATATTAATTATTATATTAATTTTCAATTTATTAACCTGTCAGAAAAACTACTAACTGAGCAGTTGTTTTCTAGTTATGGTGTATTTTTGGATGTTGAATAAATAATTCGACAAATCTAGAACTGACTAATTAACGTTTAATCATGCTCCGATATGTGCAGATTTTAGCCATGTTGTGTTTTTGATAGGCCGATGAGGATTATTTTTAAAAATGCAGATTTGAGGATTTATCTGGTCTTTTGAAGATTATGGGGATTTTTACATTTTCTTATAGTATTGTAATAAAATTGTCATTTTTTCTCTTACGGCCATCCAAAATCGCCATAACCGAATCAAGCTTGTGTTTGGTCCTTAGGTTAGTTCAGGATTTGGGCACATATATGTGACAAGTTATTCAAGGGCGTTGAGGAAACAGAAAAATTTTAACGTATACGTCTTCCTTTTACGAACTTGAGTTTCCATATCACTTATTAGATTATTATCTGGTATTTATTTATGTATCCATGTAACACTAAAATCGAATAAATACGGTCCTGTTGTTATTTTTTGGATGTTGAATATTTTCAACAAATAATTAAGGTAAGAACTAGCTGCAGGGTGAGTAGCTGGGTGCATATCAGGACACTCTGGGTTTAGTATTCTCGGGGGGAGCCTTTGGTACCATACTTTTTGGTTTTGGAAAGCCTGACGGTTTTGGGGCGCGCTTCGCGCGCTGCTAGAGCTTTGGGGGCGCGTCCAGGGACGCGCGTGGAAAGCCTGCGGCTTTAAAAGCACGCTAGATTTTCTTTTTTGCTTGGCGAATTACGTTACATATTAATAAATCCTTACTTTACATTTTGGGGGCCTTCGGCCCCCCAAACCCTTTGTTTAGTCGGATTCTGTGCCATTTGGTAGCTGTGGTGGGTTGATTCGGGGCGTTTGGGGGGCCTTCGGCCCCCCAAACCCCTCGTTTAGTTGGATACTTTGCCTTTTGGTAGCTGTGGTGGTTGATTCAGGGCGTTTGGGGGGCCTTCGGCCCCCCAAACCCAGCGTTTAGACGGATACTTTGCCTTGTGGTAGCTGTGGTGGGTTGATTCGGGGCGTTTGGGGGGCCCTCGGCCCCCCAAACCCAGCGTTTTGTTGGATACTGTGCCTTTTAGTAGCTGTGTGGGTTGACTCGGGCGTTTAGGGGTGCCTTCGGCCCCCCAAACCCTTTGTTTAGTCGGATTCTGTGCTTTTTGGTAGCTGTGGTGGGTTGATTCGGGGCGTTTGGGGGGCCTTCGGCCCCCCAAACCCAGAGTTTAGACGGATGCTTTGCCTTTAAGTAGCTTTGGTGGGTTGATTCGGGGCGTTTGGGGGGCCTCCGGCCCCCCAAACCCACCGTTTAGACGGATACTTTGCCTTCAGGTAGCTTTGGTAGATTATCTCGGAGCGTTTGGGGGGCCTCCGGCCCCCCAAACCCACCGTTTAGACGGATACTTTGCCTTCAGGTAGCTTTGGTGGGTTGACTCGGGGCGTTTGGGGGGCCTCCGCCCCCCCAAACCCAGCGTTTAGTTGGATACTGTGCCTTTTGGTAGCGTGGTGGGTTTATCCGGGGCGTTTGGGCGGCCTCCGGCCCCCCAAACCCAGCGTTTAGTTGGATACTGTGCCTTTTGATAGCTGTGGTGGGTTGTTTCGGGGCGTTTGGGGGGCCTCCGGCCCCCCACTTTTCCAAAAATCCTCCCCACAACCTGAAGACTCTGACCACCATAACTCGGTCAGACTCAAGTGACTCCCCAAACATATTACATATTTTTCGATGGATTTGAGGCTGCTCTACAATATAACGTAAGTCTTTTTAATATCTTACCCCTCCTTTGGTACCCCACTGGGTATGGTACCGCCCATACCCGAAATTTCGACCATTTATAACTTTTGCCCAAATGGTCAGAAAATTTTCAAAAAAATATTTTTAGACTCAGCTCGATAAGGGCTGTCGATTGATATAACATTTGGCCCATTTATACCGATTTTGGCAAAATTATTTTTTTGGCCGAAAATTTCGGCCGAAAAAATCACCCAAAATTTCAAAAAATCATAACTTTTTCAAAGTGGACCTGTTTGAAACTTTTTAAAAGCTTATTCTATGCAGAAATATCTGCTCTACAAAGGAAAAATACTTTCGGGCCGAACCGCCGGCAAAAAACCCGAAATTTTTTCGAAAAACCGAAAAATTTTCGGGTTTTCGAAATTCGACCCCTACACCCCCAATTTCGAATTTTTTCGAAATTTTTTCGCCTTAAAAAATTTCTAATTTTTTATACTATTTTTAGAAAAAAACCCCATCCCAATCCGAGTTTCCCATAAAAAGTTATGGCCACTTTAAAAATCCCGAAATTTCCCCAACAGGGGTACCCCTTTGGTTCTGAGGGAGGGAAAAAAATTTTGGAATTTTGGGTCAAAAATAGGCCTATATTGTACTTTGCACCCGCTGAATCCATATCCGGCGTCAGAAAAATTTTTAAAAAATTCCCCGGGACGGTAGAGTCTCATAAAGTTTTCGGACATTTTGCCACAAAGCCTATAACTTTTTGAGACTCAAGTGGACCCCCAACATATTATACCTTTTTCTGACCGACAGGGGACGCTCTTTCGAACTGGCTATCGAAATCGAGTTTTAATTCACGTTACAAAAAGTCGGTTTTTCGACCCCGACTCTTTGACCCAAAACACCCCCAAAAGTTCACCCGAGACTAGTGTCCAACACCAAATATTTTCCCAACATCCAACCCTACAATATCACTCCCAGGCCCAATAACCCTCAACTTCTCTAAAAAACGTTATAACGCTTTGAAACACTCATCCGGCCATTTCGGTGCCACACTGAACTTCGGCACCAAAACGACCCATCCCAAAAAATTCCCCATATCCACTTACCTAATACCCCCCAGGTCCCATCTTAATCCTCCCAGCCGTTCCCGAGATATACCTCAGAAACAACGTTTCGTCCGACAAAATCGGACAATTCACCGTCAGTCGGTGAATTTTTGCGCGCCCATAAGTCCCCAGGACTTCACCCGATTTTCAAAATTTTTTTTTTGTTGAAACCCCCTAATAGTGTACATAGGTCCCTCCCAGCACAAGTTTTTCGCTCCGACTTCTAGTTCACGAGATAGGAAATCTCATGGGGTCGTTTCGGCGCAAAGGAAAAGTCATGGCGCCGAAAACGGATTTTTCCCAGATGCGCCATAAAAAGTACCCCCGGGAATCCACAACTTTCAAGGGGGTCCCGCCAGCCCTTCGGGCTGGCGAATTTTTTTAATTTAATTGAGCTTAATATTTTATATAATATAAAACTAGTTGTGGCGCGGATAGCTGCAGGCGGCGGATAGCTGGGTGCCTAAATAGCATACTCTGGCGGTAAAATTTTGGGGTGCCCGTTGGAAAGCCTAACGGCTTTGGGGCGCGCTTCGCGCGCGGCTAGAAAATTTATTGGCTGGGGTGGTAAATTTGAAAATTCATAACTTTGTACAAAATGGTCAGAAATTTTTTACGATAGTATTTTTAGACTCAGCTCACTGAGAGCTTTCATTTGATATATCATTTGGACAACTTTAAAAATTTTTTTTAAAAATTCAAGTTTTTGGCCAAAAAATTTTGTTGATTTTTTCAAAAAAACTTTAAAAAATCCTAACTTTGTTAGTTGTAGGTATTTTTACGAATTTAAAGTTTTAGCATGGGTATAAAATCAGGCTCTATTTATTAAAAATATAAGCTGAGACTTCGACCGGTTATACCCCTTTAAATTTTGAAAAAACGAAAATTTTTTGATTTTTCAAAAAATCGAACCTTAGACCCCTTAACCTTAAGTTTTTCAGAAATTTTTTAGTATCAAAAAATTTCTAATTTTATTCTCTATTTAATAGTTTTGAGTTCATATGAATAGGACAAAAAGTCACAAAGTTATGGCCGATTAAAAAATTTTGGAATTATTTCATAAGGGTACCCCTTTGAAAAATTTTGGGAAAATTTTTTTCAAGAAAATTTTCTAATTTTCGGTCATAATAGGTTTTAATATGCGGGGATAACGAATCCGTTGCCCGTTTATTTTTATAAATTTTTTCCTTCAAGTTAGAGGCCAAAAATTTTCTCTCTTGGCCTGAAGTTGTGGAGACCCAAGATTTGGTCACTCATAACTTTGTACAAAATGGTCAGAAATTTTTTCTGATTTTATTTTTAGACTCAGCTCGCTGAAAGCTTTCATTTGATATATCATTTGGCCAGCTTTAAAAATTTTTGGTAAAGTTTAAGTTTTCGGCCAAAAATTTTGTCAGATTTTTTCAAAAAAATTTTCAAAAAATCATAACTTCGTTTGTTATAGGGATTTTGGAATAATTTAAAGTTTAGCATGGGTGTAAAATCAGTCTTTAATTATTAAAAATATAATCAGAAACTTCCACTGGTTATACCCTTTTAAATTTTGAAAAAACTGAAAATTTTTGAATTTTCAAAAAATCGACCCTTAGACCCCCTAACCTTAAGTTTCTCAGAAATTTTTGTGTATTAAAAAATTTCTAATTTTTTTCTCTATTTAATAATATTGAGTTGGTTTGAATCGGTACAAAACTCACAAAGTTATGGCCGATTAAAAATTTTTGGAATTATTTCATAAGGGGTACCCCTTTGAAAAATTTTGGGAAAATTTTTTTCGAGAAAATTTTTTTATTTTCGGCTATAATAGGTTTTAATAGGCGGGAATAACGAATCCGTTGTCCGTTTATTTTTAAAAAATTTTTCCTCAAAGTTAGAGGCCAAAAATTTTCAGTCCTCCACAGAATATGTCGAGGAACACAAGATTTTTTCTGTTTTTAACCGTGCTCAGTCGTTTTTTGTAACAAAAACGTCCAGAGTACACCGCGTGGAGGTGCACGGTGGTCAACAGTGAACCATATACTCCTCACTGGGCTGTAAATGGGGAGGAAATAATAAG